TGGCTTTCACACCTCTAGGACATGAAATGGGTATTATAATTTTATGTTCTCATAAAATGGTACAATACCTGGCACATATTCGATTTTTTGGAGAATGTTTGGAATGAACTGTTGAACTGAATTAGAATATAATTTCAGAAATGTTTTAATGGAGCCTATATGGGCACCACGGAAGGACCAAGACGGGTACTCAGCCCATTTCTCTGTTTCAGAGTAAGCCCCACTCATCAAATGACAGCCCCATCAGTTTACATTTGGACACAGTTTTACTTGGACAGTAGTTTTACTTAAGCCAACACTGGCAGTCCTCATTTGGTAGAACTGCATTTTTGAGAAGGCACGGTAATTTAAAAGCATGTAAGTTGGATAAAGCAGGGTCTTGTATTTCTGAACAAGGACCTAAAGCCCAGATTTTTATAGAAAAGATCCATGTTTAATAAACTTTGATATGCCTGTTTTCTCAGACAGTATAAAGTTTTGTAAAGTTTCAGTCTATTGAATGATCCCACTGGTGTTTTAAAACTCATTTATTTATAAAATTGACATAAAGATTTTCCTGACCTGTTAATATAGTGGTTATTTCTGGGGAGTAGACCTGATGTGTCATTCAGGGAAGGAAGAATATTTCTGTATTTTCCTTTAAACCTTCCGCATTTTTTTGAATTTTTACTTGTAATGAGTATGTTTTATTTTTCTATGAAAAACGAGTTAATAAAGTTGATGTGAATCCCAACTGTGTAAGGATAACAAGCTTAAGAAGCTGATGGACAGTGGCTACAGGCTGGGGGATGGAAGTCTAGGGCTACGAGGCTGCACAAGTGGTGGTTTTTCCAAAGAGGAAGAGTTCGAGAAGTGGCTGAATAGGACGGGGTTGTGGATGGACCTGAAACTGGTAAGAAAAGGTTTTCAGGTGCTGAAGCGTGTCAAGCAGGTGGTGTATGCAGTTTCTAGCTTTGAAAAGCTTTCGGCCCAAAGGTGCTAATGATGAAATGAGCTGTGTCAGTTCAGGCTGCTAAGTGTGTAGCTGGCCCGGGTTGGTTTTATGTTGTGGCAAAGAGTGACTGAGACCAGGAAGGAGGGCACAGCTAAGGATGATGTTACAACTTGGCGCCAATCAAAGCTTTTATTTAAATGCTTTAATGAATTTAAAACATACTTGTTTTTTCCCTAATGTTTTAGGAAGTACTACTGAACATATGAAAACAAAGGACATAGGCTAGAGGTGGTCAAATGACTGTTTTGAAGGCTAAGGCAGGGTCAGTGTTGTCTTATAAAGGGTATAATTTCATGTACCTAGATCTGAAAAAAGAATTGGGATGGGGTAATATTCTTTGATTCATTCTTGTCTCTTAAAAATTTTCTTTTTAGAATGTCAATGTAGTCGTATTTTCTGTAAATTTAAGTAGGTCACAAATGTGTATTAAAATATCTTTTAGTGTTTTACTCCTAATACATAAATACATTACAATTAAAAAGACTCTTATGACTCAGAAATAGGATTTTTAATATTTCAAAATTCCACTACCCACCTCACCAAATTAACTTCTCTAAGCTGCTTCATATACACACATTATGTGTGTATGCAGTTTTATTGCATCAAACTCTGTACCCTGCAGCTTGCTTTTTTATTTAATGATGGGGCTTAGAGCTTATTCTCAGTCATTGCTTATAATTCATCTTGTGCTTTTTCATGGTTGTAGTATTTTATAATTTGAATGCATCAGGCTTTTATTGGACTTAAGGTTGAGGACAAATAATTAAGTTTTCTTTTAGCCAGATTTATGTCTGAAGAAGTCCTAGGGGACTTTAGAGAGAATGATAGGTATTTCAGAAACTCCACATTCTATGAACGGGTACTAGGAGCATGGAGTGAAACAAGGAAAGAGAGCTATGAGTAACCATAAAGATCAGGAAAGGACCTTGTAAAGTTATTTCCAAATGCTTATTGCTGTAACTTTTTGGCCAAAAAGCTTACTGGTGCAGGCCATGGACTTAAAAAAATCAGATCTTGTAGATAACAGCTGATTTAGGAAGTGTATAGTCCTTTTTAAAATATGTATATAAATGCTTTGTTCTCTTCACCCTTTAGTTCTGTTGTTTATCATTATTTCTTGGAAAATAATTCTGCTAACAGGAAGAGCTGCTTGCTTTAAAAAAAAAAAGTAAGCAAGAAAACCAACAATTTGTGGACATGACGGTCTTGTATTTTGACCATGATTAAGAAGCTACTGACCAGCTATAGACCACCATTTTATTAAAATACAGGTCACAGCATTTAAGACTGCAAATGAACATTTTATGGGGTGATAAATCGTTCTTCTCTGCCCACCATGCTCCCCTAAAAGAGCAATAGTGTAATTTGACCATAGACTGTCACCCACACATAGCTGGTTTTCCAATTGTAAATTTGAGTAACATTTTAGAATTTGAATTAGCTGCTTCATGGTGGTCATTTAATACATGAAGACCTATTTAGACTCAAAATTGAAAGGCAAAGAGTTGCCATTTTTGCCTTATGTGTCTAGAAACTGTAATTTATAATGTACTCTATTTTAACAATTTTTTAGTGTTTATATTCTGCTTTCTTCCTTTATTTTTGCAACTTGCAAAAATTTTAATATTCCATGATTTCATGTTTTGGTTACATTTTTTATTCTACTGTCTCTTTGGTTGCAGAAACTGTATTTTAAAGCTTTTCTGAATCATTAAGTCACCAAATACGGTACTGGCACTCAGAGGCTTGTTAAATGAAGAAAAGTGTTGCCAGGGAGTTTTCATAGAGCTTTATGTGCTGTTAATTGCAATGAACTAAATCTGTTACAAGTAATAATGTAACTGTAATCTGTTGAAAACCTCACCTTTCGATTAACCAATTTTTCCAACCTTTTCATCCTTCTCCTTGAAGAGTACTTCAGGTAGATTTATTTTCACCTGTGCAAGCCAGTTACCCTTGGCCCAGATGTTACTGACATACAGAGGAATCTGACCTAGAATACAAGCCTATAAATTATTGCTTCTTTTTACACCTTGTTGTAATGCGTACAGTGTAGTGGAAAAATACATGTTTCTAATCCACTGTTGTGTTTCTCTGCAGATTACCTATTACGAGCCAGTCAATTTACATATATTATTACAAATCCTCATAATAGCCTTGTAGTCAGTGAGAGTCACAGAGCTGGTAAGGACAGAGCTGGCATTCAAACCCATACCTAGCAGACCCAAAAGCACTTCTGTTTCACCATATGTTCCCAACAAAATTCAGCTAGTGCATTACAGAGAAAAGAAAACTGATTGAGGAGGCAATCCATTCTGGGGGGCTTTCAGAGCCAACTCAGCCACTACCTGCCTTCTGGCTTAATCTTAGTCTCGGGTTCCTTATTTGCAAAATAGGGGTAGTACTGCTCACCTTGCAGAATTACTATGAAGACTAAATGGAAATGCATAAAGTTTTGACACACAACAGATTTTCAAAAGAAAAAAAAGAAAATGACCTAAACTACCCCTCCAAGTTGAGACACCCTCTGATACAAGTAAATGCACTAAACAGAATTTTAATTTACTGCTCTGGAACAGAAGACATTGACTAGAGTATTCCCATTGTGTTTTTCATTGTCGGTCTGTTGAAGAGTAGAACAGAGTTCAGTCCCAGCAGCAATGTAATTTGTCCAGGGAGTGTTTTCTCTTTCTTCTTAATCCTTTGTTTTAATCCTATTTGGAGCTGCAAAAATTTCTGAAGGGTCTCATGCTGCCTAGGGCTCCGGGCTGGAATTTTGTCTTAGCCTATTGATGTGGTGAGCTGTTGGAAGAGGTAGGAGTGATTTAGAATGAGATGGCATCAGGAAGCAAATGAGTTGAACACATATTTCTCTGACCGCTAGAATTCCAGTGGAGCTAACCGGTGAGTTTGTGAAAGTTTTATTTGCAAAACCAGTAAATGTTTGACTGAAATTTTCTTTTTCTCTTTAAAATTGTTTTTTAGGATGCAGAATAGAAAACTGTGATTCTTGCTTTAGCAAAGACTTTTGTACCAAGTGCAAAGTAGGCTTTTATTTGCATAGAGGCCGTTGCTTTGCGGAATGTCCAGATGGTTTTGCACCATTAGATGAAACCATGGAATGTGTGGGTGAGTAGTTTTTAGTGTAACTTTCAAATTTCAACTTTTATTTTAATATCTATTTCTTGGAAGTGGGGAGCATGCTAGATATATTCATCCTAAAAACAAATTGGTTCTCTTGTTATGAATTAGAACTGAAAATTACTTAAGTTCTTTGTTGGCTTTCTGAGTTCTTTGGGCATCATGCAATTGGGTAGTATCATATATTACATCTTGGTACAAAATTTGCTAGTTGTACGTCTGTTAGGTTAAATTACTTAAATGCTGAGAACAATATTTTTATCATCTGTGTAACACATCCATTTCTTATCTTAATAAATTATTAGTCACTGTTAAACATTTTCTTTAGAAGTAAAACAATTTTCAAGCAGTGCCATGTAGTTAACTAGTCTGTCATTTTTGTTATGTGTATTAATTACGGAGTTTCTTGCTTAGCCATTTGTGTAAAATAAAAAACAAACCTGGAAAGAGATTTTTTGTGCCAAATTCACTTTGTTGATGATTGACTGCATGTTGTAAAGTACATTAAAACAGTTTTACTTCTACTAAATTTATATATGAGGACTGCATAATTTAATATACACATATATACTGTTGGTGAATAATAATTAGGAATACACATTCTATAAATTTTATATTTTTTGAGTGTTTTTTAAAAAAACTTCAGTATTTTTATACCACTGATTTAAAGGTAAAGGTCTGTCAGTACTTATGTTTTAATAAATGCCTGAATATCATCTTAGGTGTAATGGCATCTTCACCACTCCCACCTGCTCCCTGTCCCACCTCTGTGAGTTTTATTTGATGTTATATATCTGATAGGATGTATAGCAGAGCAATATATTATAAATGAAACTTTCCATCTCTTTAAAATGGAGACCTAAATTGAGAACATTTTTACTGCAGAAATATTGAAGTAGTCTGTAATCATATATTGGAAAGCTTGCAGAGAACACACTTAAATGAGAGGTTTTTGAAGAAACGTAAAACATTCCTATAATATGTGTGAGTTAATATGTTCATATAGGCAGCACCCTACTGAAAAATAGTCACCAGAAGAGCATATTCAAGTCTTTGAATTTGCTTTTGAGAGGCAAGACTCACACTCATTACAGATGTCCAGTGGAAATTCTCATGAAGCCCTTAAATATTAATAGATTAACAATAGTCCTACGCGTTCCCCTGAATAAAAATCTTAAATAGCTTTGAAAAAGCTGAGTCACTGTGATGCCTGTTTAGATCTGTAATGTGGAAATATTAATTGTGTGTGGACCCTGAGCCTGGGTCCTCGTCTGCTAGTGATGGGGCTTTTAATGGTGAAGTTGATGAGGAAGTTTAACTTTGCATATTTCTTTTTATTCCCTTTCCCCTCCTCCCATCCCAAGGTGTTGAAGGGCAGCCTACTTTTCCACTACATGAACTTACAAAAGAGGATGCTAAAAGCTTTTACATACCTAGGGGAAAAAAATACGTTTTCAAATATCTGACTGTATTTGTTTACTTTTTAAATAATAGTATCAATGTAGGGGGTAAGAAATACCTGCTGTGGTTTCCAAATGCCCATTAAAAGAACTGAGATAATCAGAAAAGGCAAAACACACTCCCGATCCTTTTTACCAAGTACTGACTTCCAAAATGAACCTACCACTCTTGTGAATTTCAGTGGGGGTGTGCAGAATTAACCTGCAAGATTTTTTCTCCTGCCATGGTATGAAAATAGTATCTTTTACTGTAGGTGATAGCCACTGAATGTTTTAAAGATTCTATATTTCAATGTCTTTAGCATCCCTTCAAAAAATGAACTAAGACAAATAGAAAATAATAGTTTTTAAATTACTTCTGTGGCAGTTGTTTACTTTTATCTATAACTCCATAATTCAAGTTATTTATGTTCCTAAAAGGTGTATACAGGACTTTGTGGGCTGTAGAGCTTAATTTTTGGTACCTGAAGGTGGGGGAGTGGAGAAACGCTGCTGTATAAATTTGAGAACCGTGGAGAAATGTGTGCCAAATTGTTATGTGTTTGTTTGTATTTTCTTTATTAGAAGGATGTGAGGTTGGTCATTGGAGCGAATGGGGAACTTGTAGCAGGAATAATCGCACATGTGGATTTAAGTGGGGTCTGGAAACCAGAACACGGCAAATTGTTAAAAAGCCAGCAAAAGACACGATACCATGTCCAACCATCGCTGAATCCAGGAGATGTAAGATGGCCATGAGGCACTGTCCAGGAGGTGAGTCGGGATAATTGCTTCCATGGGCTGGGTGCTTTCTGAATTCTCCTCTTCCTGATAAAGAGTATTTATCCGTGAAGAAAACCTGATAATATTGGTGAGAAAGTAAGATTCTACATTGTAATTCCTTAGAGATGAATGCTTCAATTGTGAAGAATATAAAGTGAATATTTCATTCATTTTCATCATATGTGAAAATAATTTAGAAGATGAACATTCCAGATGAACTTTAAAAAAAAAATTGAATTATAGTCAGTTTATAATGTTGTGTCGGTGTCTGGTGTCCAGCATTATAGTTCAGTCCTACATATACATACATATATTCATTTTCATATTCTTTTTCATTGTAGGTCCAAATGAGCTTTTAAAATGAGATTTCTAAATGTGTGTGTGTGTGTCAGGTTTTCCTTTTTTTTCTTCCTTTTTTCTTTTTTGCTAATGTACCATAAAAGCCGGTTCTTGGGAAATCAGGCCTTTGCAGATGTTGCTCTAAGAGAAGCGGCCAATTTTCAGTTGAGAAGAGTTTAGATTAGAAAGGTTTATGGACTCTGTAAAATCATCTGCATCGTTACTAGTGGAAGATGACAACTTCAAATAAACTTGCCCAAACGCTGGGAGGAATAAACATGGTCTTAATGTTACCACAATTAGCTGGTTCTCTTTTGTTTTGATAATAATTTGTAGAAAACAGCTACTGGTATGTGTCTGTTTATTTGTGTCTTTGTAGTAATTGCGTCGATTTGCAGTAATTACTCTGTAATAACAGGATTAGGCCCACTTGCAAATGAAGAGACATGTTACGGAGCTAAGGTGCTGGCTGAAGCCCAGGGTGTTGACATGCAGTTCTCTGCGCTGACACCGCGGTTCTTAAAGCAGGATTGCTGCTTATTTTACTGCTAGCGGATGTTACTTAGTTTAGAGATGAAGTTGGGATTTTTCTAATGCACAAGACAGAAAAGCAAAAAAGAAAGTTGCATTTAGACACTCGCCCTATGAAATAAAGAAAGCTTTCGTCTGCCTTTGTTCTTGCTGTTGGGGCGTAGCGTTGCAGCTTCGTGCCTGTAGCCCAGAGAGGGGATATATATCTGCTTAGAATGGATTTATGTCCATATTCTGCTGCTTCGTAGAGAATGTCTATGATCCATGGAGGAAGACAAAACTTTTAAGACTTGAAGACTCCAGTTGGCCTTGCAGAACTATTAGATCCAGATTCAGAAGCTACTGTTAGGAAGGCAGCTTTTCCTCTTGAATTAGTTTTGCTTTTCTTTGCGGAGTCTCTGAAACAAAGTTTTTTTGGGTCTGCTTTTCACTAACAAGGATGGTTTTGTTCCATTAAACTAGGTATTTTTCAATCAAAATATAAGAAAATATTTTCTTACAAAACTAATAAGCCACTTCTTGGATAGCTGAGAGCGTTTAACCTGCAACCTTGTGCCTAAAAACAAACCTGATGTATTCAGGTATTGGAAATAAAGACTTTCTTTGTTGTATATTGTTTATATAACTACCCCCACCACTCCTTTTCCAGCAATGTGGTCCCCCAATTGTGGTTTACATTAATAGCAAAAATTAACCTGAAAATGCTCCTGTAACAAACATGCTTAAAGCACATTTCCCTCCCCTCCAACACTGTTTTGACCCGGCCCCAGGTCTTGCTTGAGAAGTTTGTAGGTAACAGCTAGATTGTTAGCCAAAGTTTACTGCATTTTTATTCCTAGGCTTCCAACAACAGTAAACTGTCTGAACAGATATAACCTGATCTGGTCAGCAAGTAAAATTATGTCAAACAAGTGTTTATGTGTCATCTGTTTTGACAAGTGAACCAGTAATGCACTTTGATTTAATTTATGTTGAGGTTTTCCCAAATATTATTTATTAAGATAGACCAGCTATTGTTCTAATCCCCATTATCTACATACTCAGTTTAATAAATTCAATTTTTAAGTAACCTTTAAAGTTAGTGGGTCTACAGAGTTATATTGGAATGTGTCTCATGTTTTATAAAAAGGGAACTAAAATCGAATTCTTGACAGAAATGGAAAATGACTCCACAATAAAATAACTTCTATTTACAAATGTAGGAAATGAAAACTAGAAAATTAATTTTGGAACTTGAGCACCAATTGAAAAAAATTGGCATAACTTCCAGTGGAGTGTCCCACCTTGCCTCAGGTGAGAGAGGAAAACGTTCTTTCTTCAATAGGTCACGGTGATGGATGAAAGAAAGGAGAAGAAAACCACTTTATCCCATTTTACATCTTGACTTGATTTCGGTGATCTGCTTTGACAAACCATGCAAAAATGTAAGTCGCAATCAGGTTGGGAATACAGGCATTTTTCGGATCTTTTCACCATATGTATGGATTTTTCTGCTCTTGGAGCCAATCTTAACCTGATTGCACACAAACGCAGCCTTAACCTCCTTCACACTAGAGCCCGGGCACGTTAAAATCAGCTGCTCTTGATTACTGGGAGGCGTAAGTCAGAGGTCAGTGAAATGGAATAGTCCTAGATACAGAAGATATTTCACTGAAAACTATTAAAAATGAGAAAATAAGTGGTAAGAGTTAAAAACAACAGTGTCATGCTTTACTCTGTTTTTCCTTAATTATCATGTGCTTATTTGCTTTTAAAAGTATGAGAATATTTGGAAGCATCTTAAGTCATGGATTGACTTATGACTTGAAGTTACAACCTTTTCTTTTTGAATAGTTATCTTTTCTTTCATTTCTGGTGACATAATCTGTAGAGTTTCTTGGGCTTTTCTGACCCTCATTCTTCAGGATCCTGGTCTGGCGATCAGGAGATCTGGGTCTCTGCACCCTGTCAACTCATTAATTCCATGACCCTTGGCAAGTCACTTAACCTCTTTTGGCCTCTATTTCCTCATTGTAAATTGAGGTTATTGGAGTAGGTGATCTCTAAGATCCAGTCTAGTTCTACAATCCAGTGGCCTTAAGATTAATTGCTGAAAGATGGGGTAAGTTCTGTGGTTGTCAGGTGAAGGGTGAGGAAGAGAATTGTAAGCCCGAGGGTGTGGTTACACACCAAGAACTGAAGACGTTTTCAGGAGCTTTCCTGTGCTGTTTACACCTGGCAGCTTTCACCCTCTTCCTTCCTCCTCCTTCCTTTCCACAGACAGTGAGCTTCAAAGACTGAGCAAGACTCTTCTAAAATCCACACGTGACCTATGGTTTAGCTACCAAAATAGGAGGATAGAGAAAGAAGGAGAGGACCATAAAAGACTATGGAACAAAGGGAAAGACTGACAGTGAGTTAGAGGAAAAAAAACTGACAGCGAGTTTAGGAAACAAAAAATGAACTAATAAAAATGAAGACTACACTCAGAGCAGATAGAACTGTCTTCACTCTGCTCCCTCCCACCCTGAGCACACTAATTAATAGAATTCATCCTGTTGGGACCAGCTTATTCTGTTAATATATAGCCTGCAGCTTAAAATGGAAGGGATTTCAGGTCTCAACTATGTTGTACATTAGGCAATGTATTAATAGAAAAATATACACATGCTATTATCATATTTAAATAACAAATAGAGGTTTAGAAGATGCTTATGTACCAGGTTGAGGGGATTGGAGCCGACCATGGTCTTTCACAGGATTGGCCAACATAGTCCCAACCTGAAATACTCAGTCCCATCTGTAAAGTCCCATGACAACTAATTTTGATTTATTCATCTGGTGTTTATTGATCAGTGCTGTGAACCAATCATTGGTCTAGGTGTGATGTTGCTCAGAGTCCTTTCAGAGCTTTTTCTAGTGGGAAGAATGGCAATAAAGAAGTAAGTGCATGAGTGTATCCCTTCAGGAGGAGATGGGAGCTGTGTGAAGAAAAATAAAGTAAGATACGGAGCTAGTGAAAGACTGGGCTGGGAGTGTATTATTTTATGCGGCGTGTTCAGAGAAATTGAGAGAGTTAACAGAGATGTGAATGAAGGAGATCTTTTGAAGACCTAAGGGAGAGTTTTTTTTAGCTATTGACTCAGTGGCTATGTTTTGTGAATATCCTTGATTCTCCCATTACACGTCAGGGAAGGGGAAGGAACTGAGATCCAGGAGGCTCTGACTGGTCCATGGCAATAGAGCAAATTATCAGTGGTAGAGCCAAGAGTAGGACCGAGAGTCCTTGCCCAGGAAACTCAAGTTTTTTTTCCTGTGTTTTTTCCTTGTTCCTTATACTAAAAATCAAAGCCATGGTTGTCCAACATAGAAGTAGTTGACTTTAAACTGTTTCTCCCTCCACCCTGGTGCATCATTTTACTTTTTTTTTTTTTAACAAATATATATTTTTTAAACATGACAGTCTGCTGTCACCACCCCTCCCAACATCCTCCCATTTGAGATAGCTAGTGAAGAGTAATTCAAAGGTCATTTTATAAATGCCAAAGTGCGGAACCACTGGCTTCGTTTTGATTCAGCCACCCCTGCTATGGCCATCTTCTGTAATTTCAGTATCATTTGTTCTTAGTTTGTTGGGGAGAAAAGTGTGACTTTAAGGTTATTCTTTCCATCCTTAGTCTTTGAAAGTTGCCCTGCAGCAGAGGCTGTCTGTTGAGCCACACCAATCACTTGTCGCTCCCCACAGCTCCAGGCCGGCACAGAAGCCCTGGGGGTCTGAGACCCTCCCCCACATCTGGTAGCTCTGGGCCTCAAAAGGCCTTTGTCTTTCTGACACACCTAAGCAATCAGACTGTTAAGGTAATTTAAGTGATGCTTTGACATATGCAGAGATAGCTTTCTTCCCTCTTGCTTAACTCACTGGCTGCCTTAACTCACTGAAATTGTTAGTAAAAATAAGGTGCAATTCTTTAAGACCTCGTATTTTCTCAGGACTGTGCTAAAAGTTAAAAACAAAAACTTCCACTCCTTATTTCAATTTGAAAATAACTTACACTTCATGCATGATATTACTTGACCAGTATTTACCTGTTTTTTAAGTGCCTTTTAACTTGATAGGATGCAAAAGAAAACATTATTCAGCA